CTGGTTTTCGCCAGATAACTGCACCACTTTAACCTAACCCATAGGAGCCACATCTTGTTGGATGGAATCTCTGTATCCACCCCTTACTTCAAATTGACATAATAGTGATAATCATAGAATTGAACTCATCAACCGGATAGAACACACCGATCATTTTGTTGGATGGAATCTCTCTATCCAACCCTTACTTCAAATTGACATAATAGTGATAATCATAGAATTGAACTCATCAACCGGGTAGAACACACCCATCTAGGATTGTTCTCTTTCATCTAGGATTGTTCTCTTTCTTTGATTGATTATGCTTGTTTCCATGCCTCGCTTGGTGTTTTTCCTTGGTTGTCAACGCTAGACAGCGTAGGATAGAAGACGTGGAGAGAACCCGATGGAATTCAGAAGAGCAGTTACCCAAGGACAGCAATTGAAGTCTTGGAGTAAGGATATACTCACCAGCGAGCGGAGGCAAGTCCTAACATCCCCTATCCCTTCCCTCCACAAATATCCACCATCCTTAAACCACCCCCTCTTCCACCTATCCACCAATATCATATTTCACCACCTCCACCATATACGCTACCACTTCCCACTTACCATTAATTACCTATTAAACACAACTTATATTATTCCTGTTATTATGTGAAACAATGTTGTAAGCATATATAATATATGATGAATAATTGTGATGCATTATGAGCTGTATGATATGGATGAGCAAAGAACATGAACCATGATGTTAATTGATCTAGTTAACAAAAACTTATTTCCAAGGGAGCGAGTGGGGGTATTCCACGTGGTGAGGACTACCTTGGTTGGTTCACCTAGTGAGGGTTCCTCAGCCTGTTTTTGGGTTTTTTGGAAACCACATTACTGCCGGTTTATAAGAACCGACACTGATGTGCACCCCCATCACTGCCGGTTTGGTTGTGCCGGTTCAAAATCCGACAGTAAAGATGGGTTTTGAACCGACACTGATTGTCAGATTTGGGGTAGTGCTAGCACTTGTATCTGTTGATACACTCACATAGCAGCATCAATTAGAGTATCTTTTCACACTGATTGCTATACTCCTGAAGCTTTTGCATTATCTGCATCTCTGTGTATTCATATCTTCTTCAGGGGGACTTCTAGTTTTTAGTTGCTTGTTGTGCGCTCTTTCAGCTTCATGTGTGCATGTGCCAACAAGGGAAAAAATGTTTCACACACAAATCCACTAAAGGAGAGAGTGATGTTGAGTGCATGCATTCATTTGGGAGATTGCATCTATTCAGGGGGAGTTTTTGCTACTTGTGTTGAGCCTTTGTCTCTTCGAGAGGGACTAGCTGTGTTTACTTGGTTGCATCATGCCGCTACCCTGTTTTGGCTTTTCATTGGCTTTTGGTCATTTGAGTGAGTTCTTTGTTCTTCTTCTTCTTCTTCTTTTTCTCTGGCTCTTCTGTTGTGTGTTGGTGTTGACAATGCACTCATCAAGGGGGAGGTTGTGAACACATGGTCGACATGTACCCATGTGTTTCGGTTTGTGATGAGTGATTGTCAATGTGAGTAGCACTTTGGGTTGAGTTGTTGAACTAACCGAGGCGTGAGTTTGGGTTGTGCAACATGTCTTTTGGCTTGTGGTGCGCTTGTGTGGAGATTGGAGACGGTGGTCGACGGCAAAGATGAAGGTCAAGCGGGTTTGTGTCGATGGACTGGGAGCTAGCGCTCAAGGACGGATGCCGGGGCTTCGACTGAGGGACTAGAGAAGCGGGGTGACTGACCATGGGTGGCTAACACCTGGGTCATCGACAAGTGCAAGAGTACATGAGGAGTGACCGTGTTGACCAAGTCAAGATGGTGGTTGACCAAGTCAAGAGGGGCGCTGGAGGATTTGGTGATCGGGCGGCGAGGACGACGGTGACACATGTCGAGAGGACGGAGGAGGCGTAGCGGATACGCTTCTTCGGGCAGATTGGTGGTTTGGGCCTCAAAACCACTGGTGGACGGTTTTTGGGTTTGGGCCTCAAAACTCGGGTGCGGTTCCGGCGGGAATCGGTGCAGGCACGTTGCGTCATCACGAGGCTTGCGCCAAGGCAAAGCTAAGTAATGAATGGCGTGTGGCCGTCGGAACAACGGATGTCTGAATTGGACCATAATACCCTTTGGGTTAGGTGGTTCACTCTAATTAGTTAGGGGCATATTGTAAATGTGTAATAGCCTCTATAAATAAGAGGAGGGCTGCCCGAATCAGCCTTATCTCTCCAGCATTTCATTTTCACCTCTGTTCTTGTAGGCAAAATACGTTTGATCCATTTTTATTTTGAACTAATCATACCGCATGGATTATAAAACTAGTAAATTGTATTGATATATGACCGCGCTTGTGTTATGATGAATGAAAGAGTTCTGTTAGAACAATTTGGATACAACATGAAGGGACCATGATGCCAAAGAGGGGGGTCAAGCTTCCGGTCGGGTAACTCCGGGGATAGCTCCAGGCCTTCCCCACGTGCAAGTGGGTCTCCGGTTAAGCCGCGCAAGGCAAAGCCTCTCCCGGACCGCTCCCCGCCGTCTTCACTATCAAGCTTCCAGCCGAAACGCCGCGAGTCTTGTTCCCTCCGGTACACGGTGGTGGCCACACCACAAACATAGTTGGTGTGGTCTCGTAAGACTACAAGCCCCACCGAGTACAACAATGGTGCACGCAAGCACTGAGGAGTAAGAGGTATGCAAACCTCACTAAACACTAGGCCTAACACCTAGAGCAAGCACAAAGCTGTGGTCTTACTAACCTAAGCACTTCACAAAGCACCTACGCTAATTACCAAATATTTCACTAAGCACTATGCAAGTGGAGAGCACTAGAATGGTGTATCAACACCCTTGGTATGTTTCGTCACTTCTTCACACTTTATTTGGTGGGCCATGGGGGTATAAATAGGCCTCCAACCAAATAGAGCCGTTGGTCCTTTTGATGGGCAACTCTGCGCACCAACTGAACCGGACTCAGGGGGTGCTCCGGACCATTGAGCTCAGGTCTGGTTCCTCCCCAGCGGTCACTGACACCGACTGTTCAATGACTGTTACGCGTGCGCACTGAGGTTGACAGGTGGGACCAACCTTCGGACCGGACCGTCAATGGTCCGGACGCTCCGTCCATACTGAGTCCGGAGCCAAGCACGCTCTCTGCAACTTTACTGGACACCTCCGGACGCTAGCTTCATTGCTCCGATAGTACTGTTCATGGGTCCGGACGCAATCCATCACTGCTTAACTCATCCGGACTCTGGCTCAATGGTCCGGATAGGCACTGTTCATCGGGTCCGAACGACCCTGAAATTAGGGTTCGCAACTAGACCGGCGGTCCATGGTCCGGACCATCGTCATCTCGGGTCCGAAGCTCCCTATGATGCTCCGTTCACTCCGTTTCTTCGTGACCTTTGCGTCCAGCTTGGTTCCATTTTTCGTGCTTGGACTTTGCTCGATCTTTTGGGTCTTCTACTCAGCTTCTAATGCCTTGCTTGAGGTGTTGGTCATCGAATCACCTGGTCGCCTTCATCCAAGTCATGTTTGCACCCTATTGTACTACAAAACAAACACTTGCAAATATATTTGTCCAATTTGGTCTTGCTGATCATCAAACACCAAAATCCAAACTAAATGGACAAAGGATCCATTTTCCTTACACAACATACAAGTATTAGTTTGATGTAAATACACATTCTTCTACAGCTTTGTTGTATGATGTTGGGTACGATAGATCATAGTCTAGTTAAAATATTTGTTCGACTTGCCCCTTTCTATGGTATAATTTGCGAATTACATAGAACAACGCACACTCACAGCACACGCACATTCATCCCTTATGAACGCACGCATGCAAACCCTATCCCAATGAGCTTCTTCGAAGACTGGACAGACAAATTGTCGAGATTGAAGAATTCACCACAGGCACTTCGCTGTCGATGGGAACGTTGCCTACCACTAAAAAACACAATGCCATTAAATCCTAGAAAATTCGCTCCCACGGGAAGTCGAACCTAGGAACTGAAGTGCCATTGAGGCTCTTGAAACCACTAGGCAACATGCCCTTTCGCTTTCTATGGTATAATTTACCACTCTATATTCATCAACTAGTTGTATTTTTCTTGGGGCAGTTGAATAAGACGTACAGCTAATTAAATAAAAAAGTTTAAATTTCAAATTAAAATCTTAGAAATTGGAACGTAACTTTTGGACCATAATATTTAAATAAAAAAGTGGTCAACTACAAAGTTAAGGTTCTCAACAAGCTCTTCAAGTTGGATTTATGAATTTTTTGTGCTACACCTATTCTCAGACATGGCCATATATATAGTCAACCGCCTCTAGAAATTTATTTTTAGAGACTAGATGAAGTTTCAGCCACCTCTAGAAATGCCTCTATTTCTAATAGCTTGTAAAATGGGACTTCTAGAGGCGGCTGAGCTTTCTAATCATCTATGAAAATAGAGGGCATATCTAGAGGTGTCTGAAAACACCAACCACCTCTAGAAATCGATTTCTAGAGGTTTGTCATCTTTAAAACTATTTTGATAGACGGTTTTTGCTTGACCCATCTCTAAAAAAAGGGCATCTTTTAAAATTCATTTTTGTAGTAGTGTTGTTGATTTATATATCTTTGAGTTCTAGAAGTAAGTATAACCACATTTATTCACTCAATAAAAACAATTATTTCAAGTTGGTCGTCTCTTTGGTGCAATGCCTATATGATTGTAATAACTAATGACAAAAAAAGTTCTTATTCCATACATGGATATGCCTATTTTGATAAACTATTTTGATATTCTAGAACAAGCGGCGAAACATGAATACACATCTTACATATGTTGATGGATACATAGCAATTGACCACTGTAGGGCCATACATGGATATGCATATTACATGCATTAATATCGACCCTAACAGTTCTTATTCGGTGTCTAGTAATACATGCATTATTATATTGCTAAATGGGTACTCGTCATGTGTCAACGAGATAGTTTTACTATGGGCAGTTAGGATTCTTCCCAGGTCCCCCAAAGTAGATGTACGTGCCCCAGTCGACACTGGTACCACTTTGCACATTATAGCAGTTGCTCTGCTCAGCTAGCAAGTTCACACCACTTGGCAATCTAAGGGTGTTGGATGAATCGACCACTAGCATGTTCTTGATATGACTAGCCTTGCCAAATCCTTCGTTAGGGAAGTGTCCACTACCCATTTGTGTTGAAGTTTGGCCAGCGTCAGGCGAGAATACCTCGCCGCCCCACTCAACAGAGGAGGCACTATCTTGCAAGTATGAGAAGATCGAGGATGGCCAATAACCCACGTCATTGCCTCCCACTTGTAGCCACCAATTGCCACTCGGTGCGTCCTGCAAGCGAAATGTTAGTTGGGAGTTCAATAGTCAGAATCATGCATCAGCAAAATTGAGTTTACGTGATTCTTATACGCGTGATGGGCAAGTTCTTCCCATTTATTGGAATGGAGTAGAAAAGTGCCGTCTTTAAACATGTTCCACAAAAACTTTACTTATATATATACTGAAGTGTGAAACCATTACAACAAACCACCACGTAAGAGAAACCTTTCTACTGGTAAGTTCGAATCAGCATGCATGGTTGTTATTTTCCTTGCAAGCACGTAATATGAGAAATGCTTTTGTAGAACTTGTTTGCAGAACTCGGTATACTTGTTCCCGTGAAATTACACTGAAGGGCTTATTGTAAACATTTTTTCTGACACACCGGCATGAATGTCTTATCCTTGTTGGTTCTAATTTTATAGCCACGAATGTGTTAGACTATGGGATCAGTGTTTAAGTAGTGAATTGATATATGATATAGCTAATAGATGTGCAAAGTCATATGTAACGCAATGGTGTGAATAGGAAAGTTTAACGTAGGACATGAGAACTGTAACATGGCAAACTACTTGAGTGCATGCTAATAGACTTAACTTGATCAGATAAACAAGATAAATATGGTTGAAGCTTCTACGCATTATCAATGTTTGAGATTTATTAGTTTCAGCATGTAAGGCCTTGTTCTAAAGAAAATATTAACTGTTGGGTTGGGGATCGCAACAGAATGTGAAACATGCAAGGGGACACAAGTGCTATGTATTTGGCAACACACATACCAGGATCCGAGCCATATTATCAAAGAAGAACAAAGAAGCATTGCATTTGGCACGATTCTCTATATGCACATTAATGAATTTAACTTTTTGTTCATTGGATGTGAATGCTATGTATTTTTTACCTTCCAAACAAGAATATCCAAGTCATATTGTGTGCCACCATATGTGGAGATCGGGGACAAGCTACCACCGATGGCGATCTGATTGTTTGTCTGGACAAACCCTGGGCATCCTAGGTTGTAACATCCTGTGTGTTCATATGCATCCCGCTATAACATTCCAGATCAATAGAAAGTTAGTAAACTTATCCCAAACTTAATGAAAAAGGATCAATATTATTTCTAATGAAGACAAAAAGGAATGTGATGTTTATCTTACTGTCCAGTAGATGAAGAGTCTAGTATTGCTATCCCCATACATAGCTGGGTAAACCTGCAATTTTGTATAGAGAAAAGGGTCATTAGTTTACAACGAAAGTGATACCACAACTTACTGCGTCATTAAAGAATGCTGAGGGCTTATATAATATCCTGATGGTAGCTATCTATATATAAGAATGGCCACCTAGGACCCGTTTGTTAGGTGGAAGAGAGCTAGAGGGCAAGGACCAGAGCTTTCGATGTTCTTCCTTTCCTGACGCAAACAAAAAACAAGCAAGGCAGAAAATCCTGCGGCTATTATGTTTTCACTTCAGGTCTAACCTGCCATCCAGCTTCAATGGTATTGAGGTCGTTGCCACTGTAGGAACCTGCAGTGACCCAGAGCTGTGACAAGCTGAAATCATTTGTCCGAGCAATTGTTGGTTGCCACAAATTGAAGGAGGCTTTGGTTCCATAGCACTTATTATCCTGTGCAGCTGCTACAGCATGCTGCTCCATGGGAGAGAAAACAAAGTTAAATGAGCAATTGCAGAAATAATTGTACGAATCAAAGAGGCAGATTATCAATAACATGGTGATTCTTGAATAATTTTTTTTACCTCGTGGCCATTTAATACATTTGGCGTGTCAGGGCCACTTATGGAATTGAGGTTCGGAATACTCCTGGGCCTCTTCTTGCCATACCTGCTGATAGAACTTGCCCTTAGGACATCCTCCACCATTGTTCTTCGTATTGGTATGGTGTTCTCAGGGCACTTGCCATTTTGATGCCATGTTTGGGTGATTGGATTGGAGGTAATGTTGTAGTTTTGATTTAGGCTTCTTGGGTGGTAAGAAGGCCGCATCTGAAAGTTGACAATTCAGTGATATAATGATACATAGGTAATAGTGGGCGCCACTGAATATATTCATCAGAATCACCCAAGCATGCTACTCCTGAGTATGTTTGGTCAGGAAGAGAAACCTGGATAGTATGGTTCTTGAGTAGGGGATGATCAAATGCAGGTTGTTTGGAGACGTGCACACAGTCTATGATATCTCCATCTGGGCTCTGTTAAATTCTCAGAATCAGTTGTTGGAACAAGGTTGAAAACGGGAGAAAATATTGTGCGCAAACTGTACATGCTACTCCTGTAAATTAATGTTCAATAAATAAAATGCGTTGAGTTTTTTTTTTTGTGATTTTGTGCAATTTCAACTAGCCATGGCCCTTTAGTCTGTTATTTATACAGTTCGGGTACAAGTGTCCTTTATATAAGTTCTTACAAATTTTTCTATCCTGCTAGTCTCTATTGGTACAAGTTGTATACATTTCCTAAGGAATGATACTTTCTTATGAATACTACGAGTGTGAGTTCCTTAGAGAAACCAGGAGGTATATAACGAAACTGGAAATAAGTTAATTGAGATTTGTCACTTGTATCGCATTTACTCTTTTTCTCGTCCATGTTTTTACTGTACTTCCGTCACATAACTGAAACAAGCATCTCAATGATGACAAAATTACAAGCATTTGATTCGTCCGCCGCGATACTTGTCGTCAGGATGGCTACTATAATTTATTAGCCCTGGCGGACTACTATGAAATCGAAGACTAATTACTCTATCTTTGGAAAAGTTCAAGTGGAACTATATTCATCTTCACATTTGTACAACATATGTGATGAATATTTGTCTTGAATAAACTTCTGTTGACACATGACTATGAATGACCGTGGCGAGTCGGCGATATAGCGAACTGTTAAATATGTGCATGCCATCTCTGAAATGTGGCTCTAACTAAATATTTTACAATTGGGGGATCTGTTTGTAATGAAAGAATTGCATATAAATTTCACAGGAGTCAGTTCTCTGAAATGCAGGTGGTCCTAAATTAACAAAAGTGCCAACAGAAATGAATTACCTACCACAGGAGGTCTTTGTGGCACTCGTAGAAATAGCTAGGAACATCAAGATTTACGTGTACTAGTGATGTCATGGATTGTCTGCCAGCTTAAACCACGAAGCAATCTATCTGTCATTGTTACTATGGAAGCAAGAATTACGTGTGCGCCGCTGGCTATTATTCCTTGTTAGAATGATTATTATATTGTATCTATAGTGATAGCATGCACGAGACCTTTGCATGAACGTCAAGCTGAACACACGGCTTGTTGCGTTTAATAGGAGACGGATGGGTGATGCCAATATATGTCTACCTGGATGGTTGCGAGAGGAGTCTTGTTGAGACGCCTGAGGAGGCTCTGCGCCTCCTGCCGCCGCTCCGCGGACATCTCGGCAGTCGTCTCCGCCGCCGCTGTGGCGGGCCTCTCTAGGAAGAGAAACCCGAGAGCGACGACGAGGGCGACCAAGCACGTTCGCATCGCTGCCATTGCGCACTACGTGGAACTATTTTGTAGCTTGTGCTGCAAGCAGTGTGCAGTGCGTAGAGGAGGCCGAACGTCCTGGCCTTTTATAGGGGCTCGAGATCGAGTAGCGACGTATTTTTCTGCCTTATTGTGGACGTGTCAAAGTATTTTCCGGCCGTATGCTCCGTTCATAGGAGAATGTGCTACGCCATAGGTGTCAGCGTCAGGTTCATGGAAGTTTCAACTGACGACAGGTCCATTGAGCGTATCTTAGGCTCTTCAGCGCACCTGTTTATCTTTGTTCCACCAAATGCTCAGTGCAAAATCTGATGAACTTGAATATTCAAAAGAGCACACTACAATCGGTTTTGGCTCTGTGAGAGCTTATTGTTAGATTGTTACTACCATCTCAGTTACACTTAAAAGACAAGACAACGTAAACCCTGTCTAAATATGCGATGGTACGATTACTACTAGTACTATTGGTTGCAACCAAATTCAACATCCGCTAGCTGGTATAAACGCACCTGCTTGTCGTTAGCTGTGGTTCATGGCTAAATAAAATTGCCAGCATGCATTAATAATCAGCTTTTTACAGTGGGCTAGTGGGTTGGCCTGGCAAGGATGTTACAAATTATGAGTAGATCGGGTTATAGAATGCAACTACAACTCTACCTTATACTGCCAAATACAACTCAAAGTCCTAATGTAACCAGACTCATACAAATATTTGACACATATCTAAGAAAGCATATAGTTGTGGTTTCGTTGCTGATTATTGCGGTGCCACTCAAGTGATGAGTCCATCGCAGCAGGGCTTCTGGGGATATCTGAGTCAACAAGGATATATGGATCTGTAGTATATACGCCAAGCAAGACTGACGTGTAAGGCTGGTTTGGAATGAGGAGAATTCTTTAATATTCTATATGAAGACAGATTTTGCAGTTGCACCCAAGTCTTGACGTGTCTCTTGTCTATATTCCATGAGGCCGAATAATCCTTTGAATTCTCCATGAACAATGAAATATTGTAGAGGTTCACATCACGTTGAACACAATCTCTACTAATACCTACAAAATACTTCCCAGTGCTCCAAATTGTAAATACTGTTAGATTTGTCGTAATTCAAACTTCTCATTTGACCATGTTTATGGAAAAATGCAGAAATATTTAAGCCTAAATCAAGATTCCTTACAAAATAAAATATGTTTTAGAAGTGCATTTGTTTGATATTATAGATGTCAATATATTTTTATACAAACTTGATCAAAGCTAAAAAGAGTTCGACGTAGGACAAAGCTAAAATGACATATAATTTGAAACAGGAGAAGTATGTGCAAACTCTTTATATATACTAGAGATAGGGTTGTTTATGATATATCCCTACATAAGTTTCCAATAGCAAACTTATTTAAGAAAATTCACTCTCTGTTCCAAATTATATGTTCTTTTAATTTTGTTCTAAACCAAGTGTTTTTAATTTTGACCAAATTTATAGAAAAATATATTAACATCTAACGTATCAATTAGAAACGGAGGGAGTACAATTCATGAATACCAAAAATTCATGTGTTTTTACAAGGGGTTCACCTAAGGTAATGCATGCGAAAATATTATTTACACATTGATTAAAGTCAAACCTAGGGGTATGCTAAGTCCTCGGGCGAAAGGCTGCCAACGGACAGACACCTCGACCGATCTCACGAGAACGCTCGGGGGGCTCGGGGACTATACGCATTGGGTACGCTCGCGAGCACCCTCTTGAAGGAGTTAGGCCGAGCTCGAGCACGGCTGCAGCCACTGCTTGAGGCTCGGGGGCTCGCCAGGGCCCAGGCTGCTAAGCGACAGAAGCCCGAGCCTAACTCCTACGCAGCATAGACCCGAGCAAGTGCTCGGACAGCCAACCGGCGTCCCGAGGCATGGGCGACCTGCTGAGCATCCGAAGCCCGACAGGTGCAAAGATTGCACAGTGCCTCCCCAATCAACGGACGCGAGGCGATGTCTGCTACCTCCTCGATAGGGTCACGCAATCGGCATGACACAACAAGACAAGCGACTTCACCAAGTCCTGGGGCAACAGGCGCTAGGGCCCACTCGCTAGCCTCTCGACCAAGGAAGCCCCAAGAAGGCTCACCGGGGGAGGCCGAGCAACAGCAGACAGCCGCTGACTGTCAAGTGTCAGGCGGTGGCAGCGATGTCATGCGGCGCCTGCATCTCTTTCGGCTCCTAACTCCAAGACAAAACCGAGGTCCATACACGTCGCGGTAGCACTATCCTACACCCCGTGTACGTAGACCATAGACCGAAAGACAAACTAACTTGTACCCGACCCCTCCTCAGAAAAAAGGGGAGGGTCGGCTCCCATAGAGAGAGGCCGATTATACAGCTGAAGGATCGGCCAGACAGAGAGATGCAACCCGAGAAGTAGAGGAACAGGAGACTATTCCCCCTGACAACCCAGCTACAGAGAGGGCCGGTTCCTCACTCGCCGGGAAGAACCTCACTACTGACAAGCCATAGGATAGCACCGAGCGATCCTCTACCAAACTCTCGTTCTCCTCCGTTATAACCCCTCTGCAGGATGTAGGGCCTCGATATCCCGAACCAGGATAAACCGCTGTGTCTCCCATGTGTTTTTGAGTACCCGAGCCACCGAAGACCCACACTCTTACTTCCGACGAACAACCACCATGCATGTCCTGGTTACAAACCCGCAACACATATCACTACTACACATAGTATTTTCAGAGAGAAGCACTTTATATTAATAGAGGCGGGCATCACGTCCTCCTCTGTCAGCCCCTGGTGGACAAGTGTCAGGCGGTGGCAGCGACGTCAGGCACCACCTACATCTCTTTCAACTCCTAACTCCAAGACAAAGCCGAGGTTCATCCATGCCACAGCAGCACCCTCCTACACCCTACGTACGTAGAACATAGACCAAATGTCAAACTAACTTGTACCCGACCCCTCCTCATAATATAAGGGGAGGGTCGGCTCTCATACAGACAGAGGCCGATTATATAGCAGAAGGATCGGCCAAACAGAGAGATCCAACCCAACAAGCAGAGGAACAGGAGAATGTTCCCCCCGATAACCCAGCTAGAGAGAGGACCGGTTCCTCACTCGCCATGAAGAAC